AACGCATTCAACTGTCAAGTTAAAATTTTCGAATTTGGATAATGTTAAAGTTATCATAAATATAACTTATGCTCTGTCCACAACTATTGAAAAAAAAGAAGACAATTTGAATTATGCTAAAAACAAATACCGTTATAATACAAAGCAGTGATTAGCATAGTGAATGACCATAGCGATACGACTATTATCCAAGCATTTCTCGGATTAAAGATGCGGGGATATATTATCGGTGATGAAATTGCCAAAAGACGATTAATTGCCAGAGCAAAATGCATCCAAATGGCAGCATATAATGTTGAATTGGCAAGGGGAGATACTATTCGACAGAAGATAACCCATGGAAATGATATTGATCCCAAGTTTCTGATAAATTTCATGTAGCTTATAGTGTGAGCATAAATAAGAAGAAAAAGGTGCAGGAGATCGGACAGAGAAGGAAAAACTATCTTGGGTTAGAAGAATTTGTTGGGTTGATTTTTATCAAGCTATCAGACAGATTCATTGCAACTTATCAAGCTATCAGACAGATTCATTGCAACTTATTAAGCTATCAGACAGAATCATTGCAACTTATCAAGCTATTAGCAATTGCCTCTCAGTTGTGACCAACAAATATTCGGTGATTGTTGGATGAATAAGATGAATAAGCATTAGTAACTTACACGATAATTCTGATAAATGTCCAAAGAACTAAGGCACTGACGGTTTGTATATGAAATGAGAAATAAGTGTTGCATAAAATTCCGAATGCATTATGGTACCGCGGTGATTTATAAATGATGTAGAAAGATATTCCATCTACAGTTAATCCAACCATTCCTATCTGAAATGAAAATGTTTCGCGACAAGTTCTATTGCATAATTGGCTACCCGAACTCAGAATAAATTGTGCATCGAAGAAGAAAGTAATGCCATCTATTTCTTGAAAAAAAATTTGAGAGATTCCAAATATACTTCAAAATTATAATATATTTCAACTCATAATTTGATTAGGTTGAAATTTTT